TACACAAATTTATTCACCCACATCCTTGTTGCACAGTAAGAATGTACCCTCATTTTCTGTTAGAAATGATGCTGCAATGAATGTGTGATATTCCATCATAATCAAAGACTTAATAGATCAAAGCAATACCTCAACTACAGAGAACTTGCCCAAAGTTACCTTTCCTGAAGCAGCAGTGAGACTGACACCATCACTGGGGAGAGGGAGGAGAAGCTTGTGTCTGCTCAATGCCGTGAGAACTGACCCAGATGGAGGAATTAGACCCAGACCTACTGTAACCGGTTAGTACCTTTGTTCTAACAGTCCGTGTTCTGGAGCCTGGGTAACAGCAGGCACGTTGTTATCAAAAAATCAGATTAATTTTTTTGAAGTTGAAAAGAACTTAAGAAATCATTGATTGTCATATCCTTAATTGACTCTTGAGGTTTATGGAGAGATTAAAGCGTTTTTGGCCAAGACAAGAACTTAGCTCTCCTTAGCTCATAAAACTGTTAGATTTCTTTAAAAACACAGGGGTTTCATACTTTTATAATTGAAGACTATGGGTAAATGGGACTTTGTGTCCCAAGGCTGATGATAGGGGGCAGATACCCCACATTCTAAGCTCAAGTGCAGCTAAACCAACTATGCAAGACTTTCAAAGGGATGACCCCAACTGGTTCTACAACCCCTAGCCAAAAAGCCCATCCAAACCTTGAAAACATTATGCTAAGTGAAAGAAGCCAGACACAAATAGCCACATATCGTATGATTCCATTTATATGAAATGTCCAGAATAGGCAAATCCATGGTGACAGAAAGTAGATTAGTGGTTGCCAAGGGCTGAGAGGAGGGAGAGTGGGAGTGACTGCTTAATGGTACAGGGCTTCTTTTGGGGGTGATGAAATTATTCCAGAATTAGACAGTGGTGATGGTTGTACAATATTGTGAGTATACTAAAATCATCGAATAGTACACTTTAAAATGGTCAAAAAGGTGAATTTTGTTTATGAGAATTTTATCTCAATGAAATTAAAAACAAAACAAAACAAAAGAACTTATCTAGCCTGTGTCCATGCAGACAGGAGACACAGCAGGTGGATGAGCAGGGATTGCTTAAAGAGCTGCCCCATTGTGGGCTTTCCCTAAGGAGGACATGTGGGTACTTACTTGCATGCCTGCCCCCCACTTTGTAGCCAAGGCAGCTAGCTTCCAGAGAACGAAGCCACAAATTGACACATGGCTCGTGGAGTTCAGAGAGCACAGGGCTTTGAGCCCCAGTCTCCATACCGCGATCTGGTTCCACCAGAAGAGATCTGGTTCCACCACAAGTCCTGGGCAATTTACAAACGTGGAAAGAACAGGCTGTGGCAGCAGTGGAGGGCACTTTCAAGGCTGGTGGGCAAAGGTGTGTGTTTCCTGTATGTTTCCCAAGGCTCCAGTCACATTGTAAAAACCCCAGAGTGAGGAGACCTCAAGAAAAAGCTCCTGTGTGCAACAATCAGACTTAGAGATCCCAGTGAACTGTCCCTGAAGAACACTCCATATGCCCCCAGGTGAAAAAAAGAAGCAACGTTAGATATCTGCTGGCGTCCCAACTACACCTGATTATAGGATGTGTATCCTGGAATCAAATGAGACCCAGAATGTGGAAGCTCCACATGGAATATAAAGTGCTACTCAAGTGCTCATTATTAGTAAAAATGACTCCCAATCATCAAATTAGTGCTGTAACAATTTCTTGTCTCATATCTCTAATTTCTTAAGTCTTTGATTACAACCTGAGAAATTCTGGAAATCACAGGGCCAGAGGAAGCCCTGAGATTTCATCTACTCAAATCCCTGCCCCCAGGCAGGAGTCACTTTCAAACACTCACACCACCACACCTGCCTCAGCACACTGGATTCGGAACCATGTCACACGTCAATCCACTTTCTGCTATCCATTGGAGTCATTATTGAGTGGTCAAAAGTACCAATAGATTGTGCCATGTTGAAAAGACTGGAGGAATATCTATCTGTCCTATTTAAACGCCTGAGAAGGCAATTCAACCATCTGTCTTGGCAACCCATTCCAGGCTGGAACCACCCTGTCAGAAATGACTCTCTTCTGTTTAATCTAAATCCTTCAAATGGAGCCTCAGGCTAATTTCGTCTCACTTCATTTTCAAATAATTTGGAACACAGTTGTTTACCATCTGGGTGATAGGATTATGTAATGTCACAGGGTTAGGATGAGCAGTAAATGAAATAATATGTGTAAAACACAGAGTTCAGTATCTGGCACATACATAATCATAGCCCAATACATATTTATTATTACCATCATTATATGTACAAGGACTATTTCAGTCACAAGTGGCATAAACACAACTCAAAATAAGTGAAGCAAAAAAAAGAAGGATGGGGTGGAGAATGTAATTTAAAAGGAAGCACATGTGTGCAATGGCCTTCAGGCACTACTGGATCCAGTGCTCAAATAACGTTTGCAGGGCTCCCCTTTCTCCCTCTTTTCTTTCAGGCAAGCTTTTTGAAGTACACAGAGAGCAGAATGGCAACCAGCAGACTCAGGGGGGTAAGCCTAGAATAGGTTCCCCATTCATCAGTTCATTTGTCAAAAATTTATTAAATGCCAAGCGAAGTGTCAAGCAGGGTTGTAAAAGCGAAGAAGAGAGCAGTGTGCAAGACATAAAATTTCTGTCCTTGTGGAATTTACCTTCTAGTGGGAAGAGTAGACCTGGTAGAAGAAGGTAAAAGGATGCTAGAAAGATAAAAAGTTATCCTCCACAAAATAAGGCCATACCTTATACCATTATTAAGGTCAACTCTTAGCTTTCTCCTCTCCAAGCCAGATAAACCCACTCCTTTCACAAGTCTTTTCCCCTTAACAAGTGTGCAGAATCCCAAAAATCATGTCTTCAAATAGATAAATAAACTAGTCTGTGGATTTCTGAGTGCATGTGGTTTATTTATGCTGTGTAATCTTTGCATAATGTTTCTGTGATAAGCCTGGAGCTATCATAACATAACCTTCTGTTTCCATTTTTGAAAGTCACTTCTCTCCTTAGACTATTTTTGTATTAAATACAGGTCCTTCTGCCACCTTCATGGTTTCCTTTGGAAAGGATGTTAGTTACTTAGTAAGTTACTGCAAATACCTGGTCATTTATTAGCCACTTAAAGGGTGTTCCTCTGAGTGATTTTAGTTCTATTTCTCTGTGTCAATCATTCTAACTGTAAAAATGAAGGCCTAGAGACCAAGTTTCTTTTGAGAACCTCAGGAAGAGGGGCCTAACTTTAGAAAATCTTAACCTCTGCCTCTCCCTTGGGAGCTCACAGTGAGGAATGCTTTCACGAAGCATTTCAGGCTGTAGTCTTCTTATGATAAAATTCGGGTTTTCATGAAACTGAAACTAATCTGAATCAAGCTGCTCTCACCTGAAAAATCTTGATTTACCAGTGCTATTCCAGATCTATTCCACAAACAGGCTAACAATGCACACAATTCTATTTAAACTGGTCACTGACCTAACAGATCTGTGCTACCACGTGAATCCGTTCAGGAACAACGCAGAGACCAACTAGCACTAAATCCAAGGATGCTCAGGCGTGTGTATGAGGGGGACGGAGTTGGTTGTCTCTGAAATTGTTTTTATTTTTTAAGTAATATTACAAGTTATGTGCCCTGCCCCCACTGTTTTCTCAATTTGCCCTGCCTTTCAGTCTTCCTATGCCCTCTGTTTTGGTTAGTATCTCATGCCAGGGCAGTAATTTATTTCTTTTAATCCGGATATAATGGACAAATGGGTCATTTGGCTCAGTCAAACCCCATCGTTAAAACTGATCTCGGAATTAAACAAAATGGATTTTTAATCGAAAAGCTCATCAGCCCCACACCCTCCATCTCATTTGTGCCTGGCCTTGTCTGCCCGGGCTTGCACCTCCCAGCCTGCTGGACCAAAGCACGCTTGAGTTGGGCGCCCGCCCCGCCTCTACGGACGGGATGCAGAACCTCCTGAAGAATGTCGGCGCGGACACCCCTTCCCGTCTCGGATCAGTCCCTGTCCGGCGCAAGCACATTTGCCACACACACACACACATACACTCACTCTCTCTCTCTCTCACACACACACACACACACACACACACACACACACAAAGTCTGGCTCTGGGATTTTTTTTTTTTAAGCTTAATACCCTTATCTTTGCTTTCCAGGCGGAAGGTCGGCTGCAAGCCTCCTTTCCTGCTGCTCCTTCGCGAGCTGGGCACCATCCCTGATGCCGCCTCCAGAGTTAGGAAGGAGATAGAACTTTCCCAGAGGGGTGCGGAGTGTCCTCGCTGCGCCTTCCCGGTTCCTTCCCCCAGGAGAGATGCCTGTTGCCGCGGAGGGAACGTGGCCGATTCCCCTTCCCCTGACCTCCGGCCCCCAAATGTAGGCGGAGACGGAAGGCTGCTTCTGTTTATTTTGTAAACCTTTAAAACCAAGTGCACTTAGCGCCGTGGAAGCCCCCTCGGATCTCACTCAAAGAAAGCTGAAAGAGGTCGGGGAGCTCAGTGGACTGGGTGGGAGAGAGACGCGACCTGAGCGGCCGTGACGAAGTGGGTCTTCAAGAGTGCGACCTCTGCGTCCGCGGCTGGGCGTGTCCCCTTTAACCTCCCCCCACCCCACCATGCCCCTGTTCTGAGTGCGTCGTCATCCCGGGGGCTGCCAGCCCCGGCCTCGGTGTGGACCCCCGCCCCGCCCGCAACACCGATCTCCCGGGTTCCGAGAGGAGCTGGAGGAGGAAGGCGGGAGGCAGCGGCGGCGCCGCGGGTGGGAGTGAGGGGGGCGCCGGCCGCCGCTCCAATTGGCTGCGCCGCCGCCCGCTCCGTGCACCGCGCGCCCCCCGCCACGCGCCCAGCCCGCTCCCGCCCGCAGCCTCGGAGCTGGTTCCCGCCGCAGGGAGGACGCGCAGGGGCGGGACCGGTCTCCCGGCCCCGCTGCCGACCCCGGGCGCGCGGGGATAAAACCCGGCCGGCGGCGCGCGGGAACCCCGGGTCCTGTAGCCTCCGGAGCGCGGAGAGGCGGGGCCGGGGCTGGCCGGCTGCCCGCGCCCCCGCCCCTCGGACCCGGCTCCGGGAGCGGGGCGCCCCGCGCGCGAGCGCACGACGGCCAGAGCGCCGAGGCGGTACCTTCAGCCGGGCAATGAAGAGAGCCCGGGAGAACCAGCTGGAGCCGGCGGAGACGTTCCCTGCGCCCGGGGTTACTGCTGCCGCCGCGGCTTCTTGAAACTCTCCGAAGTTGAGAGCCAGCGAGAGGCTGCCGCCCGCCGGGAGCAAGAGGGAAAGGAACTCGGCAGATGCAAGAGTGACAGACGGAGACAGACAGACGCACAGACCTTCAGAAGACACCACCGTCGGCGGCCTATTCCCGGAGCCTGTGAGGCTTCCCAGCTCAGTGAGTTGCTTTCTGGACGAGTGGCTTGCTAAGTATTTCCGTTTAATTGTTTATAGGATGCTTTTGTGTATTTTTGTGTCTGTTGGAGGGAGTTTAAAAAAAACAACGCAGGATGCACCTTACAAAAATATATTGAGTTTCTGATGTTGAGACGGTTGTATTGATAGAATGTGACTGTAAATGCCTGTAAGCAGGAATAACCCAGGAAATATTGCGTTTAACAGTAAAAAGGCAACATAGGCTCCCCAGTGTGAAATAAAACCTCCATTTCAAAAGTTATTGGAAAGAAAGCAAGGTATGACTTTAAGGGTTAGCTGGTGGTAGTTAACTTTGCTTTTTTACCCCTCTTTAAATATTGATTGTTTACCAGGTTCACTGGTGGGAGGCTGAGCTGGTGGAAAAGGCGCCTGGAAGAGACTTAGAGGCGACCATAATGTCTTTACGTTTACACACACTGCCCGCCCTGCCTGGAGTTGTCAGACGGGGCTGCAGGGAACTGCTGTGTTTGTTGGTGATCACGGTGACTGTGAGCCGCGGCGCCTCCGGGCTGTGCCCCACCGCGTGCATCTGTGCCACTGACATCGTGAGCTGCACCAACAAAAACCTCTCCAAGGTGCCTGGGAATCTTTTCAGACTGATTAAGAGACTGGATCTGAGTTATAACAGAATCGGGCTTCTGGATTCTGAGTGGATTCCAGTGTCGTTCGTCAAGCTGAACACCCTAATCATTCGTCATAACAACATCACCAGCATTTCCACGGGCAGTTTTTCCACAACTCCAAATTTGAAGTGTCTAGACTTATCATCCAATAAGCTGAAGACCGTGAAGAGCGCAGTATTCCAAGAGTTGAAGGTTCTGGAAGTGCTCCTGCTTTTCAACAATCGCATTTCCTATCTCGATCCTTCTGCGTTTGGAGGGCTCTCCCAATTGCAAAAACTCTACTTAAGTGGAAACTTTCTCACGCAGTTTCCCATGGATTTGTATGTTGGAAGGTTCAAGCTACCAGAACTGATGTTTCTAGATGTTTCTTATAACAGGATCCCCTCCCTGCCAATGCATCATATAAATTTAGTGCCAGGCAAACAGCTGAGAGGCATCTACCTTCATGGAAACCCATTTGTCTGTGACTGTTCCCTTTACTCCTTGCTGATCTTCTGGTATCGTAGACGCTTTAGCTCGGTGATGGATTTTAAGAACGATTATACCTGTCGCCTGTGGTCTGACTCTAGGCACTCCCATCAAATGCTTCTGCTCCAAGATGGCTTTTTGAATTGCTCTGACAGTATCGTCAATGGTTCCTTCCGTGCGCTTGGCCTTATTCATGAGGCTCAAGTGGGGGAGAGGCTGATTGTCCACTGTGACAGCAAGACCGGTAATGCAAATACAGATTTCATATGGGTGGGTCCAGATAACAGCCTGCTGCAGCCGGATAGAGAGATGGAAAACTTTCACGTGTTTCCCAATGGAAGTCTGGTTATAGAAAGTCCTCGTTTTGAGGACGCCGGAGTGTATTCCTGTATTGCAATGAATAGGCAACGCCTGTTGAATGAAACTGTGGATGTCACAATTAATGTGAGCAATTTCACTGTAAACAGATCCCATGCCCACGAGGCATTCAACACAGCTTTTACCACTCTTGCAGCCTGCGTGGCCAGTATTGTTTTGGTACTTTTGTACCTCTATCTGACGCCGTGTCCCTGCAAGTGTAGACCCAAGAGGCAAAAAAATATGCTCAACCAAAGCAGTGCCCATTCATCTATACTCAATCCCGGCCCCGCTAGCGACGCCCTGGCTGATGAACGGAAGGCAGGTGCCAGTAAAAGAGTGGTGTTTTTGGAGCCACTGAAGGATACTGCAGCAGGGCAGAACGGGAAAGTCAGGCTCTTTGCCAGTGAAACGGTTATAGCTGAGGGCATCTTAAAGTCCACCAGGGTGAAATCCGACTCGGATTCAGTCAATTCAGTGTTTTCAGACACACCCTTTGTGGCGTCCACTTAATTTTGTGCCTATATTTGTATGGTGTAATAATTCAGTCTCTCCATGTTTAACTGTGTGTGTGGTCTGCAAAATAAACAGCAGGACAGAAATTGTGTTTTGTTTTTTGAAAGACAACCAAATGGTCTCTTTAAATGGTTGATAGGAAATGTGATAACAGCACTTAGGTTGCTCAACGTGCCAGAGAAAGATGGAGTTGTTTTCCAAAGTTTAAGTTCTAGTTAACAATATCTTAGTCTTTAGCACCACTGGCAATTTCAAAGCTGGCCTGGAGGTGATTGATATGACTGACAGTGTCCTTCCATTCAGGATTCTTGACAGAAAAAATAAATTTCACGTATTAGTGTACTTTAAAAAGAGACTCTACTAATTTATTAGGACCAAAGTTGAGTTAAAGAAAAGGATTAGTGTCCCATTTCACTTTAAAAAGATGTAAAAGGAAGAACCAAGCAGCAATTATTTGTAAAGCACAAAGTCAAGTTAGATTTGGGGATAATTCAGCTAATTTCGTCATTTCAGACCAGAGCAGACAGACTACACTGAAAACATTTACTGGGTAATGCCACATCCCATATGCTGTTGGAGAAATAGTGCAATAAAGGTACACTTGTTTGACTGTCTTCTTTCCATTCTGTACATTTCTTATCCTTGTACAAAAGCTCTTACTGAGAGTTTCAAGTCATCATTATTTGCCGTAAATATGTAGGTGTCAACACCAAAATGTCTGAGTAACTTCTTAAGCCTTTGTTCTAGCACACTAATGTATGTTTAATATGCTCGTGTGTATGTAAATCTTAAATTATATGAACTATTAAATAGATCCCATTGTATTGTACTTTAGACATTTGAATTAATGTAAATATATGTATTCTGTGACTTGATGTTCTGTTTTATCTGACTATTTAAAAACATAAATTGGAGATGTTTTACGTGATCAGATTGTTCTATTTTGTGTAAAGTACCCTCTATGGCAAACATCTCTCCAGAGTTCTTTGAGTTACAGTGTAGAGTTTATTTTTTTTAAGCGGAAAAAGGCTGTAAAGTGTTTTACACGTTTTACTCTAATATCATTATGCACTTCAACTGGGTTTGGAAGACACATAAGCTCCAATTTTGCAACGCATGAGAGCCCAGGAGACCTCTTTCTTAGCCCCATATCTGCTAAGCGGTAATTGAGTACCCACTCTGGACCTAGGTGTCCTCAGCTATAAAGTGAAAGTTTCAGACTAGGTGATGTTTAAGGTTCCTTCCCACACTGGAAGTGATGATTTCCCGGTGGTCTTAGCTCCATCACAGACTTGCACTGGCTTTCTGAAACTGTACCACATACCAATGGAATACAGGAATGAGATTAGGATAGAGAAGCATAGCACTGCATTGCTCAAAGGGATGTTTTGGATCATTGAATCCAGCTCCTTCCCTTTCTCAGGGACAAACGAAGCCCAGAGAGGGTTGTGGGTTGTCTCAGGCCACACAGTGAATTAGTGACAAGAATAGGAGAGCTTGAATTCTGGATTCTTCCTGGCAAAGATAAGGCAGTCAAAGAATGGTTGTTTTTAACAGTGGGCATGGAGGAGGAGCTAAAGAATGAGATAGAAGAGTGGTCAGAAAATGGCAAAGGAACATCAGGGATGTGTTGTCACTGGGGCAAAGAGAGATAAGAATTTTTAAAAGATGGAAGTGGGCAACAGTGACAAATAGTGCAGAGAAGTAGATGAGAAGGGAAGACTGCCTTTGGCAATGGTGGTTTTGAGGGAATGGTGGACACTTGGTGACAGATGGTTAAGTGCCAAGCCAGGCTCCCAGTGGCAGACGCTGTTCAGAAGTGAGTGAGTGGCCAGGATCGTGCCTTAGGGAATAGGATGCAGAGCCACTGCTCAGTAGCTTCGAAAATTCCTTATTGCATGGTGTTAAAAAATTACTGCCTCTGTCTTGTAAACACAGACTTCACCGGTTAGATAAGATCCTTCAGACCCAAAGAGGTTACAGGCAGACACTTTTTTCCGGTTACTGCCTTTTAAGTAATTCAGAAAAATTCTGTGATTTGTTTGACTTTTGAAATCGTCTCTCCTTCATATTTGGTGAAATTCAGACTCAGAGACTCTGTGATCTGTTCAGCCTCACGAAGCTAGGCTGGACGCAAGGAAAAACTCCTGAACCACTGAGGCTCTCCAGCAATGGGAAGGGCTGCCTCCAGGGGCCATGATCGCCCTGACTTTAGGAGTGCGAGAGAGCAGGGAAGTTGCAAAGAGGATCTCTGAATTGAACCCTTTCTGGACGGGTCTCTGAAGTACTTCAGCCCTCAAACCCTCGATCCTAGGAAACCTGTGTTGCGTTTGTCAGGGGAACGTGGACAGTGGTAGAGTGGGGAGTTTGCAGAGCCTGATCTTGGCTGGTCCTAATACGCTTTGGGTAGAGGACAAGCTAAGCTGAACTCAAGACTAACATAACCTAAACACAAGAAAACAGAAAAATCCTGAATACTGAAAAGCAAAGCTGCGTTTTGAACAAAAGTAGAAAGGCATGGTGATGAGAAAGCATGAACTGAATGTTATGATGTGGAATTTTAAATTCTTAGGTGTTATCTTTTTTTTTTTTTTTTGATAGGAGCCTGATCACATGTATTTTAAATATAGGAACAGAACTAATTTGTGCTTTATAAATCTGTCACTCAAAACTTTTATATAATTTTCCTTCCAAGTAATAATCTGGATTTATGTAACTGGGCTATTCTTTTAAACTATTTTTTATTACACAGTTGTGAGAGAGGTGGTTACTCAGTGGAGAAACCAAGCAAAGATCATAGACATGAAATTTTCCTGGGCTTAGAGTATTTTTTCACTATAATTAGAAGATACTAGTTTATGATAATATACTCTATAATTACTCATGAGTTAAATTTCTTAAACACACACTTTTAAGATTTATAATCTGAAAGAATGGCCTAAGGGGGGCTGGCCCTGTGGCGCAACGGTTAAGTGTGCGTGCTCCGCTTCCTCGGCCTGGTGTTTGCAGGTTCGGATCCCAGGCATGCACTGACGCACCGGTTGTCAAGCCATGCTGTGGCAGCGTCCCCATATAAAGTAGAGG